GAAAAAGGAATGTTGTGAACAGTACAGTACACCAGATAGCTATTGAGTTACTTCAGTTACGTAGACCTTCAGTAAAGCTGTTTTTTACCGTTTCCAAGACCGCTTTCCATTGCATTGCGTCACCAGTGAACCATTTGATACTTCCCAACTAACAAATCTCTCATCACCAACACATCTCATATCCATTTAGAATTGTATTCTACTTTAATTTTTAAATTGTTTGATGCGAAGCCATTTCAACGAAAAAAAAACCCACAGAACATCGATCGCAACTGGCCGTCGAGGTACAACAGAACCCATTGTCCCGTGTAAAGTACTCCTATCAAGACTGCTGGCCATAAGACTGCCGCCAGGGTGCCCTCGGCCCGAAATCCCATCGAACGAAACGGTGATGGGTCATTCCGCTGAAATGTCACGGGTTTCGTGTTGAGACCTCAAGATTATGATCTTAACAGCAATGCACAAAGCATGCCTTCAAATTTGAAACGAGAAAAATAAGAAACAAAATAGTATGTAAGTAATGGATATGAAATGAAACAAAAAAGCAGATACGACCGTAATTACCTTTTAGTCATGAAAAGCTTCAATAAGGGTCTCAGAAATAGTGCAAAGATCAGATGGGCAGCGAACGAAAGTGAAGCACAGATTCAAGGTAGGGAAAAAAGAAAAGTGATCTACCACTGACATTTCGACATGTCACTCGATCAAATTTACGAGATTTTCTACTTTTCAACACGCTCAATAAAAACTGTATAAAATACCTCTGGGGTAAGGTATTTTGCTACAGATTTTATTGATCGTATTGAACAGTAGAGAATCTCATAAATTGAGTGTGCTACACATGAAATTTGCCGAAATGATGTTATATGTACGTGTACAGTTCCCAAAATCCAATCCTATGACCGCGTAAAAGAATCCTGAATAAAGCTCCATGAAGTATAAAAAGGGTAAAATACTCAAAATGGATCGATATGCAGGAGCGAGGCGGGGGAGGGAGGAAAAATGGTCATTTCACGCACGGTGCACACTACCAAACTTTTTGTCGCAGGTTTCGCTGTTGATGGAAGTTTTACGGCAAAATATTCCTTAGATGTCCCCCATAAGCAGAATCAGGCCCACCTTCACTGCCCTCACCGTCTCCAGAATATGACGTCATCTGCCATCACCGTCGAGCTCAAGGAGGCCTACCATAATCGCTCCATTCTGAAGCTGCTACATAATTTCTTCAATCGGATAACTGGTGAATAGCTTCTTAGGGACACTAGCTCTGACCAAGTAGACTTTTCCGATCAGCATTTCAGATGACGACGAAACGGCCCAGGACTCGTCGGAGACCTCACTGATAGTGAGTTCAAACCATGTACATACATGTTCCCGTAAAAAAAAAACTTCTGATCCTGTGGGGTAGAAGACCTTTATGAAGTCTTTTGATAGAGAGGGAGGAGACCTTCAACTTCAGTCGAGATCATACCGTTCGAATCTAGCTAAGTGTGCTTAATTCCGTTTTAAAGTCGAGTCGATCTCCCTGTTTTTTTTTTAACTGAATACGCTTTGCCTATAAATGATCAGCCAAAATATAGCTCCAAAACCCCCTCTAACCAACTTGGCAATGATGGGAGCCTCGGTTGGACTAGACGATGGGCAGTCCAAGACTTGTTCACCGAACCGTGCGCGAGCTAGCGACATCGCTTGTTATTAATACCTTCGCCCCGTGAAGTGCCCCTCATAGGACCCCTTATGGAATTTAAGCCCTTTGGTGTCATTTTTGTACGAAATATCACCCCATCCTATCATTGAAGCCTCGCCTAACGGATCATCTCGTGCCGAACTTCAAGCCATCGTTTGCCACGCTACCTCCCATAAGTAATTGTCGTTTGGGGAATTGTACTCCACGTTCTACCCGAAACCAACAAATCGCGAACGCTTTGGGGATATGGAGTGCTGCCGCTCTATGAAGACAAAAAACGCGTAAGTACGCTGAACAGTATGCTGAATAAAGGGATGGCATCAGACGGAACTTGAACCCACCTACCGCTTTCGAAAAAGATGCTCCCTTGTGCATGCCTAAAGTTCCGTTCAGGATGGGGCACGGTTGGGTATACCCCAAGAAAAGTCGTATTTGCCTCACGGTTAGAGGCGGCTGGGTATTGTATTCGGTGGATTGATATGGTATTTTAATGAGTGCAGCCCTATTATGGGTGAGAACTCCTTTTTGGTAGAGGTGGGCGGGAAGGGAGTAGGTGTATTGCATATTTAGTGGATATTAATGCAGGGATAGACGGACGGTAACGGCGTCAATATTTACGTTTCACACAACTGCAAACAACCACCTCACTGCTTGCACATCCTCCGCCTTCCTCCCCCTCAGTCCACGGATTAATACGTCATATGAACGCGAATTTGCTGCCGCGGGCTTGCGCTTATCTTAAACAGCGGCTCACACACAGTCGAACTTTTGCACACTGGCGGCCAAAGGGGCCAAGAACAGCAAACGGGTTAAAATAAAAATTCTGGAACGACACAATTATAGCCGCAATATGGAACCTGTAAGGAAACGTATGGTATCCTACCTGACACAGCACGAAATACGTGATCGCAACGGAGAGCACATTATTCACGACCGCTGCTATTGATCGTTTACGTATGGACTGCGGATCGTTACGATCAGTACCATCATGATCGACTATGTGTAGCAAGCCGACGTAAGAGAGTGGCAACAGCACCGCCAGTGATACTGATGCGCCACATCCCATCACCTAAACGAATTCAAGCATTCAGTATGTCAGACTTGTCAAGAGTACGTTCCGTCTCGCTCGAGTTTTGGTACGAAGCCTACATCATCATGCGAAGAATAAAGTCCTCGACTTCCACTCATTTATTCAGGATGCGCCACGCTCCTGCTTCCTATGAAGCATATCGTGGAACCGGAGGTTGGGTGAATACAACTCTCCTCGTCAGGTCAGGCACCTCATGAATACCTCGGATTTTCCTCGCGAGCCTGAACACCCTTATCCTAACCTTGGGCTTCAATCATCACTCATTCTGGTGAACTGACCTAGGGAAAGAACTCAAAGTTCTCCCTGAGATGATCTTAAGAACTGCTCGTAATGAAAGAAAAAAAAACAGAGGCTCATCAAGCAAGTTAAAAATTCTGATATAGCCATGAAAAGTGTTCGTCATGTCATGCCTTGTGCTCTCTACACCAATATGTTCTCACAAATGAACCGAAAATGGGATCGTCACTGCAATCAACCTAAAGGAATCGCCCACGGAGCAACCATCATTTTATCTCACCCAGTAATCACTGGCTTGAGACCCATCACTTACGATAAGACGAAAAAAAAAGAAAAATGCGTTTGTTTTGGGGAACAACTCAAAAAACAGCGAAGGCTCAGTGCGTTCAATGTCGCATTAGTGTGACAAATGTTGGCGACGGAACATTCAATCGCTCAGAGTACCTTCACTAGGAACTCTTTCGGCCTTTTCCACTATGACAATAACATTTCTCTTTTCTGCAGCCTCTACTCTTTCCATAGATTTGTCTCCTTCTCCAATCTGAAATCCTTCAACCGGATTCTTTCGCATGACGTTCGGCGCTTACATGTCGCCGCCCTGAGGCGCGCTTCTTCCAGGCGTTCTTGTCCGCCCGGCCTAACCCGCGCACCGCCCTAGAGTGTAAGTTTTTATGAAGAGTTTTGTCTTATTCGGATAAGAAACTGAATGTCGGTTCGTGAAATATTGATACGTTTCTCTATTGATCCAGTTGAAATTCTCAAGTGAGAAAGAATGCAAGAAGGACGAAAGCTTTGAGCACTAGTGACGTGATATTGACAAGGTCACATTTTTTTTGCGATTTTTTATGGGAATATGTGATGGAGTTCCATATAGTTTTGAATTGGCATCGATGCAAGGGAATAAAAAAGCGAAGTGTTCATCATCACCCCATCCTGAAAGCATATACCAGAAATGGTGCTCTTCCCGCAGACGAAAATGAAAATATTACTGCAAAGTAGGTCAGCAGTAACAGAAAAGGAAAAGGAGGCATCGAAAACACTATATTCAAGAGCTTGCTCACATCTTATTGAGGCAACGAGAAACAATTGCAGAGGAGTCTGGTAGGCGATGGATGAACGCAATGGTGAGGAGAGCGCCAGAACTGCACATTGGCGGGAGGAGTCTCCTCAGGCCTAGTTAGCCCTGTTTCGGCACACTTTGAGCGTAACGCGGAACGATTCAGTGATATCAAGACACAGACGCAATGGGGCTTCAAAAATCTATATACACGCAGACTTCGATGGTCGTGAAATATATGTATTGATGTCAGCACAGGGTTTCCTAAGGGGTTGACTGCAGTTTCTCCTCCTCAGGTAGGGACATAGATTTGACACACTCAATTCGCTCAGCAGCAGCTTGGGACTAGCTATAGAGATCGATCTAGGCTTAAGCATAAGCCAATGTGTAGCATAAGCCCAAGCCCATGCCTGAACCCAGGCTTAATCTTAGATTTCAATGATCACCAATCATCTGGTGACCTGACCTCATGAGGAGAACTGAACGTCCCCCTAGTTCCTAAGTGTGCAGCTACAAGCAAACACGAGGTCCGCTAAGGAAACAAAGAGATATCAGCTTAAATTGCGGAAAGATGTACTGTCCAACGAAGCAGCCGGCTGTAGAGATCGGTTTTCCTCATTTAGATATTTCGAATGTTCATTTGCGAGCTGATAAAAAGTGTAAAAACCCAGAAGAGCGGTATACAGTGGGTTAAAACACTGTGCCACTCTCACCCTAGTAATAATGACCCGACATCGCTAGCAGCGATTGCGATAGATTCTAGAGGGTTGCAGGAGACGTGGAGGTGGTGCCCAATGGATACCCCAGTAACGAAAGAAGAGGGAATCCGTCAGTAAATGAGCTATAGGTGGATGCTTTGTTGGTTGATGGTTTTTTAAAGCAACAGTCCCAGCAGGGTGGGCGTGGTCGGAAACGGCTGCAATCCCCTCGGCCGATTCCCACTTCGGAGCTGTTCAGCCCCTAGTCAAGAACGTAAGAAGTGTGACTGAACAAAAACTCACCTTGGAAAGCCGCTAGGGAGGGAGCTGAAGTGGGCGGATTGCAGTCGTTTCCGACCACGCCCACCCTGCTGGGACTGTTGCTTTAAGGAAGAGTTGAGCGGCGGACGTATGGACGAGTTCATCGCAAGGTGTTTGGTGGCACCATGCCAATCCATGCTCCAGTCGAGTTGCTACATTTGTGCCGCAGCTGGCACGTAAGAAAACAAGTAAACTAGTGGCGGATCGCTTTTGGGGGCGGAGTGCTTTCGAAGTCCTGCTCAGCAACCAGCGCACCTTCGTCGTGAAAGCGCTACACCTCGCTTCCCTGGCAGCCAAGTAACTGATTCGTGTGGTGCATATGCTTCCCGATGCGCTCCCCCGTTATCGTGACCGCTTCTTTCAAGGAGAGGGAGGTGGTGTAGAGGCAAGTGGCGCCTCTTACCATACGCACGATTCATGGGTTGAATCTCATTGTCGATGAAACCTTCTCGAACCAGCCAAGCCTTCGACCCCTTGGAGGTCAGCTGATTACTACCAAATCCACCTGGAAGGGGGGGGGGGAGCAAAAACACTGAGTTGTGCATGGGCTAGTCCCCGAAAATCATCGTGCAGGCCAAATCGCTTTCTAATACTATTGCGAATGGCAACAGAGTGCATGGCGCATTCCAAAGAAAAATGGTTGGTGCTGAACGCTTGTACTCCACCATTCAAAATGGGACAAACACTGAATTCATGAGCAATATACGCCACAGAAACAATACACGTGAAGAGTGCCACCTTTGAAGTTCGTACGAATCAATCACGCAACCGTCTCGCAAGAGAAAAAAAAATGAGAACACGAACGTAGAGCGCGACTTGTGGAACACCGTCGCGCCTGAACATCACTAATGACAGACTGAACAAACAGCTGATTAACTACTGTGGACGGTTGGAAAGCGTACAGATTCTATCAGAGAACGCAACACGGAAACCAGTTCAGAACGTGCACTCTGCAAGTGTATGTGCGTGTAGAATGGGGTTTATTCGATTTCTACCAAGTGCAGGGGAGTGCGCAGTGGCGTTTTTGCCTGTCGGGCAACCATGAATCAACCATAAAATCAATTCATGAGACTACAGCAATAAAATTTCACCTATAATGCAGCGCTTCGGACCAGTCCAGGGCACAGCTTATAACTATAAAAACCCAACGACAATATGCGAATGCTATAAGGTGGCCTCAGTCGAGCACAGCCGGCGGAAATTGCCTATAATTACGCTGAATCAATTCGTGGCCCGTAAAGTATCGGTACTATGGAAGATTGAACTGATTGTGAGAGCAGAAATTTGGCTATGCGCCAACAATTACGTGATACAATCTGCAGGGAAAAGCGAGAGCCGAGAAAAACTCACGCTTTCTCAGTCGCGCGTTAGAGAAGCCGGTTTGCCAGACATCTTCATTCGACCTAGATGTGTCGGCGCCGCGACGCTAACGAAAAACGCTGCCGCGGTAACGAAAGCGAAAAGGACGGAGACGGAGATACCAAGAGCCATAAGCCTGGCTGCTAATCAAGCGTGTCAGGGAACACGAAAATTCCGGCACGACTCCAATTTCGGGAGAGCAGGCAATCCAACCTACAGTATGACGTTTAAAGGGTAAAAGGCACATCTAGGAAGTCGGGTTGAGTAATTTTACGAAAAAGCAGTAAATGTCGGAAGAATGAGACTAAAACTCATAGGAGGAATCCTTAGAAAATTCTTGCATTCTTTCCCCAACATGATATGTCAGTTGTGATCACTAGAAACAACATACAAAGTTTCACGCACAAAGATTCAGTTTCCGAAGAGAAACAAACTTACAAAAACACTCTATGGACTGTCGAAGGTAAGTCGCGCGGAGCCAAAGGCGGGGCATTGGGACGGTCAGGTATCAGGCCGCAGTGAAAGAATCGGGTTAAAGCGTTCGATTTTGGAGAGTAGAGACAAATCGATCGATAGAATAGGATGCAGTAGAAGTGTGAGATGTTAATGCAATAAGTCAAAAGGCCAGAGTTTCTAGTGAAGGCACTCCAAGAACCAAGTGGAAGCATTCCCGTCGCCAGCATTTGTGACAGATGTCCGGCGGTAATTTGAACGCGTAGCAGCCCTTTCGTTTTTCGAATTTTTTACCAAAACAAATGCAATTTTTTTTGTTCTTTCGTTCTTCGTGACGATGGGTCCCAAGCCAGTGATTTATGGGTGAGATAGAATCACGATGTCTTCGGAAAGGATTCCTTTTATGTTTAAACAGACAAAAGTCCATCGAGTGCCGATTCCGAAGGTAAGAGAACAGTTTATCATGAACATTTTGAGTGTCGTATTATTTATTTCACCTCTCAGCGTAATTGGCGACAGTGATAAGAAAGCTCCAATACAGAGTGCGGCCCGAGGCGACACCTCGAACAAAGTTCTACGTGATCCATGGGCCTCCACAGTTATCTCTGACGCCATACTACACGAAATAATGCTATTGACAGTTAAAGGATAGACTCAATTCTGATTAGCGACAATCAAAAGCAACAACGCTTGAAAACCAAGGAAAGAGAGACATTTGGAAACCTAAAAAGCTATGGAGCTACAAAAACTGAACTAGCACAATAAAAAAGATGAAAAGAAACCGTGGAGGGGGGAAGGCGAAGGAGGCAAGCAGCAGCAAGCGATACCGCATGTTCGGTGGATCGAGTTCC